CTCTGTCTCCCATGGCCTGAGATGAGTGGGCGAAGGGAAGCTGTGAGCCAGGGCAGGGGACTCAGCTGTGGCTGGGAGTGCAGAGGCCTGGGAGGACCACGGAAAAAGGCACAATCCCTGAAAACCTCAAACCACCCAATCTCCCACCCTGCTGATGGCTGAAAGAGGGAAGGGGCTGACCTTCCCTCCTGCTCTGGGGCTGCTGTAACCCCCATACCAGAGCTTGCCTTGGTTACAAGGGACCCCAAGACTCTCATTCTCCAAAGGGGCATGAGGTCTGCCCATGGGACAGAGTCGGATAGGAAAGGTGCTGACCAGGGTCCAGGCCAGTCCCCACCTCCCACCTACAGACGTCTAAATGCTCCTAGAAGCCATTTACAAAGGGCTGGGGGCTCCCATGGGCAGTTAATGAGGGGCCAGGCCTGGCTTCAGGGTCACCCAGCATGTGGGTGTTGAGGTCCTCAATCCAGAATGGAGGGAGCAGGGGCTGGCTGGGCTGGGCTGCTGTGGGAGGCCTGGAGGCAGCATGAGGTGGGGTCCCTGGGCCAGGCCAGTTGTGGCCAGGCTGGGGGAGGGGCTGCCTGTTTGTTGATGCTAGGCCTGGGCCCTGGCCAGGGCAAACACAGCTCTGAGGCCTTTCCCGCCACCTGCCGAATCTCCCAGCCCAGCCTGTGGTGGCCGGACAGCTGGCAGCCAGGATGGGGCTCTGAGAACCTCCAGGCGCCTTCTCCCGGAGACCGGAGGGAACGTCCATCCACGCAGCCAGTGTTGAGGGCAGCTGCCTGGAGTGAAGGCCGGGGTGGGGGAAGCTCTGTGGCTTCATCTCAGCCTCAGCCCAGCTCCCACCTTTACTCCCCACCTCTGGAACTGAGGCACAGTCCCAGAGACTGCCGGACACGTGAGGCAGGCAGGGCTTAGGGTCCTAGGATGGCCCAGACTCGCCTTCCAGGGTCCCGGCAGCCCCTACTCTTCTCCTCTCTCTTCAGTCACATCCTCTGGACCCCCAGCGAGATAGCCCTCGCCCACCGTGCCCACTTCCCCTGGCACACCACCCACACAGTGAGCCCAGCCCCTGTTTACCAGTGAGGCCCCATCTTCACCTCCACGCAGTTCTCCCCGGAGCCCAGCATTGTATCCACGACTCCTGGGATACCCTGCAGGCACCTGCCTTACCCCCACCTGCCCTCTGACGTCCTCCCAACCTGCCGCTCCCCCCATTCGGCCTCTCCACCTTCTCCACTGCCCAGCCCAGCAGGCCACTCACGTTTCTGTCTCCACTTCCCCGTGCCTTTGTCTCCTGGGACCACCCTGTCCCACCTCCTGAGCAAACTCCTACTTATCCTTCCACACTCCAGTGGAAAATCTCCTGAGAACCCTGCCCGAGCCACTGGGGAAAGCCAGCTCTTCCTATACTTCCTAAGGCTGTTCTTGCCACCCTGACCCCCAGCAGCCCAGCCTCAGCATCTCTAAGTGCACTCCACCGGCCCTCTAGACAGGGAAGTTCCCACCAGCCTGCAGGCCTGTCCCTGCCAAGGGGAGAGAGGCACGCGCCTGGGTTGGGAGGAGGAAGGGTGCTGTGGATGGAGGGAACAGCTTGGCCACAGGATGTGAGTGTGGGATTCGCACCGGTAGGTGCCGGGCTGCGTGCAGGGGCAGGGCATTGGCCTGGAGTCTCGTCGGGGGTTTTTAGGCATCACGGGAGGGAGCGGCTCTCACCTCCAAGCTCCCAGGGCTGAGGACCATGCCTACAGCTCCCAACCACACTCTTTCCCGTTCGATGTCTGGAACGTTCCTCCTTGAGCATGAGGAGGGGTTTAGTTGGCACAATACAGGGGAGGATAGAGAGGACCCTCCTCTCCAGTGCTTATCCAGCCTGAGTCCCCAGAGCTGATGACCTCTGGGCTGAGGCCTGTCCCCAGAGTCTTGGCGTGCCTTCCCTTTTCACCCTGAGATCGGCCGGCTCCCAGCTAGCCACTGAAGCGGCTTAATGAGCCCAGGTCACATGGGGCGAGCTACTGCCTGTGGGAGGGCCCAAGCCCCCAGTGGCTACTCGGTCAGATCCTGACGTCAGTGACATTAATTGTCTGCCAAGGCTTGTCTAATCTCTGGTCAGTGGCTGGGCCAGGTTAGTCTTGCCAGAGCCAGAGCTGAAGGCCATGAGGGCCCTCAGGGGCACCTTGAGGTTGCAGGTCAAGCAGGATGGTGGTGGCCATAGGTGCCGGCAGTAAATGCCTCCTTCCTACACTAGTAATGTGTGGCCATGCTGCCAACTCTGGGCCAGCTCTCTCTAGCCTCTGCTGTGGACCGTGAATCGGGCATCGGGCAGCCACTGTTCCTGCTCCCTAGGGTGTAATAACACTGGTGTGGTGAGTAGGGCTGAGGAGGCTTCCAGCCACAGACAGGACAGACTGAGACCAGGTATCAACCCTGGCCCGTGGGATCCAGCAGTATGGGTCCTGAATCCCAGGTGCTGAGGTTAGCACCATGCACAGGAGCGGACTCTGTGGAGGATGGGGCTTCTCTCTGCCCCTTGCCCAGGAAGGCTGGGGAGCTCATTACCTGTCTTTCAAGACCAGGTAGCTATGTGGAAGACCTCGTTAGCCCACCTCCCCTGACAGCTTCCTCCCTCTAACCTACCACCTCCAGCTCCTCAAAGCTTTCTGTCTTCCTCCTTGACTCTGTTAAATCCTGCCCTGCCTCTTCCCTGCCTACCTCACTCCAGTAAACTGCTTGAACTGCTGAGGCAGAAGGTCTTTTTATAAAATATTTTTTTCTTTATTGATTTTGAGAGAGAGAGAGAGAGGAGAGGAGAGGAAGAGAGAGATAGAAACATCAATGAGCGAGAACATCCATTGGCGGCCTCCTGCACCCCACCCCCCACTGGGGATCGGACCCACAACCTGGGCTTGTGTCCTGACTGGGAGTCGAACCAGCGACCTCTTGGTGCATGGGTCGACGCTCAACCACTGAGCCACACCGGCCGGGCTGAGGCAGAGGGTCTTTAGCTGAGATGAACAGCCCCTGCTCAGCCGGGCCCAAGATCATCTAGTGGGGGTCCTAAACCACTGGTTCAACCCCCATCCTCCCCTCAGGACTCTGAGCAGCAACAGCGTGCTCCTCCATGTGTCCTAGGCTCCCTAACCCAGCCAATGTCCCCCAGCCCTGTGCTCAGGTCTGGACACCCACATTCTCCTTTCTAGCCAGACCCCCACCGAAGGCTCACAGCTCCACATCCCCACCCCTGGACATCGCCCCCAGGGGCCACAGGTCTGGAAAACTTAGTCCCTTCAATGTTCCTGTGCAGTCCCAGCTTGGTGGGGGCATCGGGCACTCGGTCAACAGACAGATCTGGATCCTGTTGCTGAGCCCCACTCCTTGTGGATCCTGGCCACACATGGTAATGAGGCCATGTCTTCCTCATAGATCCCCCAGCCCACGCCCACTCACACTGGTCCCCAGGAAACACGTGCACCCCTATATACATGCTTGCTTATTTATTCATTTATTTATTTTTGGTACGTGCCCCTAGCAGAAACCGAACCCGGGAATCTGGTCTGCAGGCCAACGCTCCAACCCCTGAGCCAAACCAGCCCGGGCCATACTTATTTATTTATTTATTTTAAAATCCTCGCCTGCAGATATTTTTCCATTGATTTTCAGATAGAGAGGGAGGGAGAGAGAGAGAGAGAAAACATTGATGTGAGAGAGACACATCAACTGGTTGCCTCCCGCACAACCCGACCAGGGCCAGGGATAGAACTGCAACCAAGGTACGTGCCCTTGACTGGGAATCGAACCCACGATTCTTTGGTCCAAGAGCTGACGCTCTAACCTCTGAGCCAAACCGGCCAGGGCCCTATATACATATTGTTATAAAATGTTTAATGATTATTTTTTCCAGATTTGGAAAATATCACAAGATCTTATTTTCATTTAAATCAGAAAAATAAAATTATAAATTGTTTTAGGTACGAGTAAAATATTTTGAGTTTTAATATACTTACTGTAAATTTTTTCAATGTTTTTTCAACTAAAGTTATGTAAAAAAATTAACCATTAAAAATACATAAAACCATATATAGGAATGGACATTTTCCCTTTTGCTTCAGGCTCCAATATGGCACTAATGTCTCCCCAGGACTATCTCAAATTTTGTCTTTATTTAGAATTTTGATATTTTGTGCATCGTGAATTTTTTGCACCCATTTTGATTACTTATTTATTTAATGTTTTTTTTAATTTTAGAGAGAAAGATAGAGATAGAAACATGGATGTGAGAAACATCAATCACTGCCTCCTGCACGCCCCCTACTGGGGATCAAGCCTGAAACCCAGGCATGTGCCCTGACCAGGAATAGAATCTGGACCTCTCGGTTCATGTGACGATGCTCAGTCCACTGAGCCACACCGGCCAGGAGCCATTTTGATTTTCTAAAGTGTTGCATTAATATATTATTTGATTATTGAAAATTCTGGCCCAACCTGAAATTTTGCACAGGTGGTAATGCCTCCTTTGCCTCGCCCTAATCCCAGGAGGCAATTCTGTCCTCACTTCAAGGGCTTCAGAGATCCATCAACTTGGGGAAGACTCCCAGGCCCCCCGGCTGGCATTTGGCACTTTCCCACTGTCTCCCCACCCCACCCTATGTCCCCTTTCCCTGCTCCTGCTCTACTGAACTCCTGTGGCCCCCAAACCCATGTTCCTGGGCCTTACACACCCTACTACGCCAGCCAGAGTGAGCTTCCATCTCCAACTCCCTCTTGACCTAAGACCATCCCTGTGAACATTTCCCATGGCTCCTCCCCCTTAGCCCTCATCAAGAGGCACAAGTTGGTCCCATGTTCTCCAAGAGTGTCCCCTACCATGTCAGGCCAGGTGCTTCAACCTGGAAGGAACCATCTTCCCACTTGTGTCCAGCCCGGCACTGGGCACTTCATAGATACTCATGACTCATTATAATTAACACTCTCCCCCTCCCCCCAAGAAAGGACAGCTGGGGCCTGATGCAAAGGTTTATTGCTGAGTCTGTGCATCTAGCTGAGGGGAGTGCAGAGTGCAAATCGCGCCCTGGCCTGACTAGCTGAAGCCCCTGTCCACACCTGCAGTATAGCCCTGGCCCATGGCATCAGCAAGGACTGGGTGATTGAGAAGTAGGAAATGGCGATGAAGGGACATGGGTCTTTGTCCCTGATGGTTCAGGCATGGCCCTCTGTTATTCCTTCCAGGGAGTGGGCCCTGAATAGAAGCTGCTGGCAGGGACAACGGTCACCTGGGTTCGCTTGTGACCCCACCTGAGGTAGACCCCTTGGGGTATCCATCCAGTTCCAACTTCTATGCCTAGGGCTGATCGATGGGAGCTGGACTCTGCCCTCAGCCACCCCTCAGGACAGTTCGACCATTGGCCACAGCTGGTGTCAACAGTACCCTCCCTCAACAGACCATCCCCATGACTGGCCAGGAGTACTGTGGGTGGGTGGGTGAGGTAGGACATGGATCTGGTGTCCAAGGACAGAGGGGGCAGAGCCTGTGGGGGAAGGGGCTAGGCTAGGGGTTTACTCTGAGACTGGTATGTGGGGAAGGGTCCAGCTTGAGTCTCTCCCTGGCATCCAGGGGCTCCCAGGCTGACCCACTCATGAATTCATCTGTGTGGGAGCTGCAACGGCCAGAGCTGGCTTAGACTTTGGACCGCTGAAGCAGCTGGGAGGGACAGTCCTGGCCACTGGGTAGACAGGTGTCAGACTTGTCACATGGAAGTGGTAAGTCTGGCCGGGCTGATGGTAGGCCGGCCTGCGAGGAGGAGAGAGCCCTGCCTGCCCCCTGCAGTTCCTGAAACTCTTGGAGGGAGGGTGAGTCATGGGCCCCCTGGGGCGGGAGAGCTGCTGGAGACTGGTCAGTCGGGCACTGCTGAGTCACTGTGTGCTCTAGCTGCCCCAAGTCCTGCCGGCTCCTAGCTGGGGCTGGCTGTGGTGGGTCCTGGAGGCCAGTGCCGCCAGGCCGTGAAGGGCAGCGCTGAGGTTGGGAGCACCTGGCTCTGGGAGGCCTGGGAGCCACGCGGGAGGGTCAGGAACTGAAAGCTAGTGGGACTCAGGGATTTGGGGCTGTGGCTGGTGGGGCCACAGGCTGGGGCCCAGGAGTCCTGTTGGATGGGGCATCAAGGTGGCTAGGCTACAGGGTCTCTGGACATGCATGGGTTCAGGAACCTGGGGAGAGAAGGAGGAACCTTGTCAGCATGCCCAGCCCCAAAATAGCTGGGCTTAGGCTGAGAGACATGGTGGAGATGGGTTTAGAAACCGTGACACCTGGGGGATTGGGGCCTCCTCGAAATAGATTAAGTGGGTGGGACTTGTGAGCCAGGGGAGGGGCCTGTGGCAGTGGGGTGGAGCCTGAGGAGCAGGGTGGGCCTGGAAGCAGAGAGGTCTGGGAGTCGGCGGTTAGGCAGTGGAGAGGGTTTGTTGAAATGAGGTGAGGTTGGGAGTGGGGGGGGGCTGGGGCATTGAGATCAAGGGGCAAGACAGGGGAGCATCCCGGCTGGGAGGAGCCCACCTCAAAAGAGGCCGCAGTCTTTGAGGTTCTCCTTGATGATGATGTCGGTGACAGCATCAAAGACAAACTTGACGTTCTGCGTGTCAGTGGCGCACGTCATGTGGGAGTAGATCTCCTTCACGTCGCGTCGCATGTTGAGCTCGAGGAACTGCACCTTGATGTAGTTGCCCGCGTCATCGTAGGTGTTGGGCCCTGGCAGGGAAGGGGGCTCTCACTCCCTGCCCCCGAATCCTCCCCCACGGAGGAGCGCAGCCGAGGTCGCGGGGCTGGGGCGCCGCCTGGCGGCCTGGGCGGGAGTGTCTCACCGTCGTAGTCGGGGAAGCAGATGCTCAGATGCGCCTTTTTTATCTTCTCGGAGAACACGTCCTTCTTGTTGAGGAACAGCACGATGGATGTGGTGGCGAAGTAGCGGTGGTTGCAGATGCTGTTGAACAGGTGCAGGCTCTCGTGCATGCGATTCTGAGGAGGACAGAGGCTGCAGGGCGCCGGAGGACACGTGCAGCGACCCCTCGCCTCTGGGCCCCGCCAGCTTCAGGTCGGCCTCCCTCGCGAACCCCCTAGCGGGGCTGCTGGCTGCCTCCTGTCCTCTTCAGACGGCCCTGGAACGAATGTCGCTCCCCGGACGCTCCCGGCCCCGCAGCACTGTCGACCTCTTTCCGCAGCCTCGCTTGGAACTCACCACCTCGTCGTCCTCCACCAGCACCATGTCGTAGGCGCTCAGCGCCGCGATGAAGATGATGCAGGTCACACCCTCGAAGCAGTGGATCCACTTCTTGCGCTCGGAGCGCTGCCCGCCCACATCGAACATCCTGCGGGCGGGGCGAGGGGCCTGAACCCGCGCCTCGAGCCCCCTGGGCACGCCCACAGGCATCCCCTGGCCCCCCAAAGCTGGCTGGGGCTCCCTCAGACCCAACTGGCCCGCGGAGGGGCTGGGCCTTTCTGCGGGCGGGTATCTGCGAAGGGGCGGGGTCCCTCGTAGGGACCGGCCCCCGGGGGGTGACCTCGCGGGCAGGGGGCCCGGAGCCAGGCCCCGGCCCGGGATCGTACCGGAAGTTGAGGTCCTTGAAGGAGAACTGCGTCTCGATGATGCCGGTGGTCTTGACACGCGAGCGCAGCACGTCCTGCTCAGTGGGCACGTAGCCCGGGGTGACCAGGCGCTCCAGGTCCGAGAGGTAGCTGCGGGAGAGCCCGGTGTGGCTGGGTGGGGTGCGGGAGCACGGCGGGCCCGCCCCGCCCCGCCCCGCCCGCGCGCTCACTAGCCCGCCGAGTCGTTGAGCTGGTACTCCGAGGCGCGCTCGAAGCAGGCCTGGATGCCCGAGTCCTTCCACAGCCGCTGGATGATGTCCGACATCTCTTTGGGCATCGTGCCCTCCTCGATGGTGTCCGCCATGTGCATCAGTTTCCGGGCATCGTCCTGGGGACAGGGAGGGAGCGGTTGGGGGTGACTCGGGACTTGGGCTCAGCCCCGCGCCTCGAGCCCGCAGAGGCCGTCGGCGCACCTGGCGCGCAGAGTCTCCGTACTGGATGTTGAGCGTGGTCATGGCGCGCACGATGGCCAGGATGGACTGCAGCGTGTTGCCGTAGATGATAGCAATGAACTCGAGGCACTCTTCCAGCGAGTACCCATCCTGATGGATAATCCTGCGGGCGAGCCGGGGTCAGCGCTTCGTGGTGGGGTGGGCTAGGACAGGCCCTGTGCGCACACCCACCCCCCGCCACACACCCGGGCGGCCTCGGGCAGGCAGGGGCACTCACTTCATCTGCTTGACAATGGTGCTCTTCCCAGACTCCCCGGCACCTGCAAGGAAAGCCCCGCCTCAGAGCCGGGCTGACCGCACCTCCCCGCACTCTGCCCCCTCCCCACCCTTGCTACGAGGCCGGGAAGATGGCCAGGCCAGCCAATCCAGCCTCAGTCCCACTTGTGTTCCCCTCACCCCCCAAAGTAAGGTTCTGACACCCTGGCAGAAAAACGTTTGTCAATGTCAGGAGTGAACGAAGAAGACTGACGAGGGGGATCAACGACCTCAACTGTGCTGGGGAACCTCCAAGACCCCGGTTGACAGTCTTTATTTGTCTGAGACCCAAATAAAGCGAACCTGGAGCGCCACCTAGTGGACACATATGGCACGGCAGCAGGGATTATTTGAGCCGGTCAACCCGGCTTTTCACCTGGGGGGAGGAGTGTCTCCTGGAGGCTCAGAGAAAATGAGCGCCTTGGCGAGAGGGGGGCGGGGCGGGGGGGGCAGAGCTGACAACCCATCTAAACCTGCTCTTGCAAGGGTGTTGGGCATAGTTAATGAGATTTCTGGCTTAGCCTCTTTGTCTTCCCTGGACACTGACTGGGCCCTGGAGAGCCTGGGGGGAGCCTGCACCTCTCAAGGCATCTCCTTCTTTTCCTGGGAGGTGGCAGCGACCTGGAGGCTCGGGATCTACCCCATGTCTCCTCACTACCCTGGGATCATCGTGGGCATGCTTTATCTATTCCCCTCTGGGCCTAGTCTCACCCCCCCTCCCCCTTTAGCTGCTTTGCAGGTCTGCCAACAACAAAGCTCTGGAAACTGAGGGCCATTGTGTGTAGCTCTGGGTGGCTCCAGAGGCTGCCCACTCTCAGGAGAACTGTGACCTCCTTCCCAAGGGAGCAGCCCTATTGTAGGGCTCCCCAGGAGTCCCCTGGTGTTTGAGCCCTGCCCAGCAGGCCCATCAAGCCCAGCCAGGACAAAGGTGTGCCCCGGACACACCTCTACAAGAATGTCTAGTCCACACTTCTCAGGAGGGAGGCTGCCTGAAGTGGGCCCTCCGGAGAGGGTTCCCTGGCACACCCAGCCTGGAGGAGCCAGGGTATCGCCTGCCAGGCCTGGCCTTGCCTGCCCAGGGCTCCCGCTGCTCCCTGCCCTGCACAGGACCATTCTGCTTCGCAAAGGGGCTGCCTGCCTGCCCCCAGGCCTCTGACCTTGCGGCAGCGGCCCCACCTGGGCCCATACCCCTACCCAGAAGCAGCAGTTTCACGGTTCGGGCATCCTTCTCAGCATCTTCTTTCAGCTTCTTTTCTAGCTCCCTGGAGTGCTTCTCCTCCGCGCTGGCCCCAGCCCCCATGGCCCTGGCAGCAGGTGAAGAAACAGGGTCACTTGGCTCTTCTGGATGGAGGGATCTCCAGAGCCAGGCTCACGCCAGCCTCTGGCCTCCCTGGACACCTCTCTGGACCCAGGACTGGCAACCAACTGGCTCTCCAGACCTGTGCAGGCCCTAGTGGGGATGCTTAGTGGGATTTGGGTGCTGGGGATACCCAAGAGCCAATCAAAGACAAGGACAGGTGGATCTAGCTCAGCCCCCAGCCCTTGTAATCAGGCTGGCATGGCCCCAATCCCTCAAATGCTGACTCTGCTCCCCCACTCTCCTCCCCTAGTCCTCCAAGAGAGACCCTGGAGACATCTGGCCCCTGCCCTGGAGCAGGGAGGCAAGTCTGTAGGGTCCAGGCTCAGAAAAGGGAGGAAAAGGCCTCAGCCAAGGGGTGGGGGCCATGGGGTTGCTGGTAGCAGGGAGTAGAGGGAGAAGCACACAGTGAGCATCTGCCCCGTGCCCAGCACTGGGCTCTGCAATGCTCCTTATTTTGTGAGCTCATGCCAAGTCTGGGATAGGGTGCCCACGTCATCAGCCCCATGATACAGATGAAGAAGCGGAGGCTCAGAGTCACACAGTGGGTGACTGAGAAGGGTAGGGTGACTCTGGAACTAGATTCCATGCTCTTCAGGGAGTCAAGAGGCAAAGGTAGACATTGCATTGTGCATACAGAGGGCTGGATCTGACCTGGACAGGGCCTCTATACGCCACGATGCCAGTGGACTTGGGTGGGCATGCACCTCTGCTATGTGTGCCTGGGGGCACGTATCTATCCTTTACTGGCACCAAGTAAGGAATGACATGACACGTTTGTCTGTCTATACTTGTGTGTGCACATGTGCTTGTGTGAGCCTTTGTGAGTGCATGTGTGCCTATGCACACTGTTGGTGTACAAGTGTGCATGTATGCATGTGCTTGTGTGGATTAACCTGTGTGCATGAATGTATAAATACATGTACATGTGCATACATGTATACATGTTGGCAGGCACTTACCTGTGCACCTGTACACATGAGCACGTGCATACCTATATGCATGCACACTTTCATGTGCCTCTATTTGTACATGTGTACTTGAATGGGACAGTCTCTGACCTGCAGAAGTGGACAGACTCTTACAGAGAATGTTTTGTAGGCCTGTTGTCAGCTGGGGAAACTGAGTCCCAGAGCAGGTTGGCATTCTCAGGGGAATGGTGGGGTGGGGCCCATCTGCTCTGCTCTGCTCCGTACCCTGTGGGTGCTCTGGAACCTGCTTAGGGGTATCTGAGGCATGCTAAGGGGTGTGTGGCAGGCTCAGGTAGGACAAGGTGAGCTGCTGGGATGAAGCAGTTCAGTTGAGCCTGGAGTGTTGAGTTCCCAGGCTCTGGAGATTTCCCACCCATTAAAAGATCCAAACCCTGGCTCCCAAGGCTCCCTCCAGGGACCCTGAGCCTCCTGCCTGGACTCCCTCTGGGAAACCCGGTTGCCTTTTAATACCCGACTCTATTTGCAGCCCAGGAGACCCTGAGGGGGGCCAGGGCCCCAGACGCTGAGCACTGAAGACTGTCCCTAACACATGGGTGTGGAGACTGGCTCCTACCATGGGCTTCAACCTCTACCCTGTGGGGGAAGGGGGTCTGTCCAGGATCAAAAGATCATTTGTGCCATTTTCAGCCTCAGGTTTCATCCATCCTCCACCCCCCACATTGTAAGTGGGACCTGGGGGTCTCTGCAGCTCTGTATACACTGCCCAGGGGTTTGGGGGTGGTGCAGGAGCCCAGGTTTGTTAAATCAACAAAAACCTGGTTTCTGCATATTGAGTTTATTTAAAGTGGGGCCAATCCACTGCCTCCTAGTCCCCACCTGGCTCCCCTGCCACCAGGTATGGCCCTAAGCTCCCCGTTGGCCTAGGGCACCGAGCCCCACTTCCTCCTCTCCAACAGCTCCTCACCTATCCTGGTCTCCCCACCTCTGCTCACTAGCTCATGCTGGGCCCTCTGCGGAGAGCTGCTAGGAGGAAGAATGGGGGTTCAGTTGCTTGGGGCGGGGGGGCAGCTGGGTAGTGAGGGCTGTGGTTTTGTCTTGCCAATTCTGAGTCCTTCGTGCTGGCACAAGGTTGGACACAAAGCCGGGTGAGGAGAGTTGAACAAGTGATCAAACAATTGAATGAGCAAATGGAAGCTGGCCTGCAGGAGACCATGTGGGAACTAGTGGCCAGCCCACAGCGGGTGGGGGTGGGGGACAGAATCTATGCATGTGCTGAACCCCCATCTTTCTTCCCCTGCCAAGAAGAAAAGCCGAAGTCCAGTCCCAGAGCCAGTGTTTATTAACAAGATGGAACCCAAGGGCGGCTGTGACCCGGGCAGCAGAGGGCCTCCAGGAGCCCCCATCCACCTACCCAGGTGCCCCCAGAGCTATTTACACTCATCATCTGAAGTGGTGGGCAGAAGGGAGCCCCAGGGAGCCCCTGCAGTCCCCAGGCCTCCGCACAGCCCCTCTGCCCTCAGCCCTGCTCGCGCCCGGCCCCTCTGCTGTCCTCCCAGCCCCTGAGTCACAGTGGCACAGAAAAGGCAAAGAGGAGGTAGAGCGGCCAGGCAGGGAGGGGAGGAGGGGAGGAGGGGCTGCCCCCAACACGGGGTTCCTTTTCTCTTGTCCCCAATAAATAGAGAATAAATACCCGGGAGGGGGCTGGCCTTAACTGAGTGCCCCCCTCCCAGGCAGGGGCCGGCATCCTGTGACAACCCCCTTCTTCCCTCCCTCTGAGTGCATCTGAGCCCCCCTCCCACCCCCAGTCTCCAAAGCAGTCCTTGAATCCACGTCTACGCCGCCGGCTCAGGCTGACAGAACACACTGGCACAGGCGTCCAGTCCGTGCCTGTCCAGGTGGAGCTTGCTCCCTCCTGTGTGCTGTAGATCCCAGCAGCAGCTGTCGAGCAGGTGGACTCCCAGCTGAGTGGGGACTGTGCAGTCCTGGCCTGGCCCTACCAGCTGGCTGGGCCTGCTTAGGAGGTCTCTGCTTTCTGCCATCTCTGACCAGCATGGGTCTAAGTTCTGAACAATGCTGCCACTGAGGCAGGCTATATACAACCCACCAATAAATACTGTCTTTGCAGGGGCAGGGTGTGTATAGAATATAGATATTTTTATATATATATATATCTATGTATCTTTTATATTAAAAGGGACAAGGGCTAGGGTGGCCCATTGCAGGGCTCAGACAGCTGGCCTCATGTGTCCGGTGGGTGGTGGCGGCGATTCCGGGGCTTTTTCTGGTCCTGGGGTTCAGGAGGCCTGGGTGCCCCCGGGGCCTCCCTGGGGCTGGGGGGCACATGGCGCCAGTAGCCCTGGCAGTACTGGTGAATGAGGCCCACTTCTGGCTGGGCCAGCAGCTGGGCGAGCTCCTGGTATGAAGGTGTGGGGGGGCCAGCACCTGGGGGCGGTGGGGCGCTCACAGCCGGTGGTGGGAAGAGGGCAGCGTGGACAGCATCCCGGCCCAGGACATGCAGCTGCACCCGTGTGACCACATGCTTGAAGTTGTTCTCCGTGGCCGTGCAGGAGTACAGGCCTCGGTCGCTGACCTGCAGGGCGCGAAGCAGCAGGCCCTGCTCGGTGCGCAGGAAGCGGTCCTCCACGCGGATCTGCGGGCAGAGAGGGTTAGGGCTGTGTGGCCACCCTGCTGCCCAGCCAGCTCCCAGGTCAGACCACCTTCGTGGCCGTTCCATGGAGGGGGGCACCCATGGGGGACTTCCATGTACCAAGAAAAACCCACATGAAGGTTTCATACAACATCTGAATGAGGCGGCCATAGAATTTCCATTTCAGGAGAGGTGACCTTAAGGGGATTCTGTGCAACGGGAGAATTGTGGAGCACATACACATAACTTCTATTTAATGGGAATACCCAACTGGGGCTCCCTCATAAGATTTCCATGTAAAATGAGGGCTACCCCGCAGAATTTCTACACACTGGGGCTCACCCACATGCCATTTCCCACAATGAGGTACACCTCCAATGAATGCACGTATGGAGTGTTCATGTAAAGAGACGTGCCTATAAATGGTTTCATATAACATGGATACCAGCCTGGCTGGTGTGGCTCAGTGGTTGAGCCTTGACCCACGCACCAAGAGGTCACAGGTTCGACTCCTGGTCAGGGCACATGCCCAGGTTGTGGGCCAAACCCCCAGTGGGGGGCGTGCAGGAGGCGGCTAGTTGATGTTCTCTCTCATCGATGTTTCTCTTTCTCTCCTTTTCCCTTTCTCTCTCTAAAAACAAATCAATAAATAAAAATAACTAGATTCACCCAAATGATGTTCTTATAGGGAAGGAGCTCGGAAGGGCTTCCGTAGAATGCGAGCTGCCCCGGAATTTCTGCCGCACGAAGGACTCCCGCACCCATGGAGGACTGTGGGGCACAGGAAATCACCTCACGGCGCCGGTCACTGGGATCTCGCTGGAACAGCCACTTAACGGTGGCCTGGGGTGAGCGGGGCTGGCACTCCAGGAAGGCGGCGCTGCCCGCCACGCCGTACTGCACCGACTCCACGGCGTTCTTGTTGGCTGTGGGTGGAGAGGGCGCTGCGGTGAAGCAGCACTGCCTCCAGGCAGCCTAGCGAGGGGCTGGCCGCGGAGCACATACAGGGACACCCCCATAAAAGGCAGGGATGCGCCACTGGGCATCTACTCCTTGAGGGGGTGGCCAGGGACATCACGTGTCCGAAAGCCCGAGCCCTCTCCTCCCCATGGGCCACGTGAGAATCCTCCCCCTGCGCCCTGTGAGCGCCCGGTGAGCTGCACGGGGCTCCGACGACAGGGAGGCCGGCACACTCACCGTTGGAGTTGAAGCCGCGGCACTGCCTGATGGGGTTCCCGTGCCGGATGTCCTGCCGGCGGCTCCTCCTGGATGAGGATAGCTCCTGACGAGTATGCCCCAGGAAGCTTGCCCCTCCCAGGCCCAGGCACCCTGAAGGCCAGGGCTCAGACTCCCCCTGGGCGATAGCACGTCCACCTCCAAACCCCCAGGACAGGGCCCTGGGTCTGGCAGCTACAATTCCAAGGGTCCGGGGGTCCACACCTCTTGGAGGACGCCGTGTAGCGGGAGCAGGCCTGGCCATCCCAGGCGCAGTAGGGGTCCCGGGCGAGGCAGCAGTCA